ACACACACACACACACACACACACACAGAGGCCCTGGGCCCTGCAAACACTCACAGAGCGACACACACACAAGCAGAGATGATTTATTGTTTTAGTTGTGTGTGGTTTATTAGGGCCCGAGCACTGATAGTGAGAGGACCCTATTGGTTTTGCTCCGATTATTTTATTTATATTTTTTTAATCCTAATTCAAATGTCAGACTGAATTTTTTTTTAAGAATTGAAAGTTCATTATTATGATATAATACTATCATATCAGCTGTATAAAATGGTTTGAAAAGTATTTGTTTAGGTCCAAGATGCTGGTGCAAGTGCAACAATTAGTGTTAGTTAATAGTATATATACATGTCACTTCTATGCAGTCAGAAATTTGTTGTAATGTTCTCTCTCAGATTACAGTGGTAATGTGAATGACTTTTGTACAAATAAATTTTTTTTTTAATTTACGAATATTGCTGTAATATCCACATGAAAACCAGAGCAGTCCTCTAACAATATGTCTCCATCCGTGTTTCTGGCTCACAGGTGTGTGCTGTTGAACTGCTGTATGTGTGCTGTTTGTCAGTCTGTCCCTCACTGCTGTCTGCCTGCCTGTCCATCCGGCTAGCCTGGAATGGGCCACAACTCCCAAAGACTAAAACACACCTCCTTTTAACCTGAGCTCCTCCGTCTGGACTCCAACATACACACAGGTAGTGAGAAAAAATAGATTTTAAATAATATTCCCTCAGTAAATCTTTACAATCACCTGTTATATTCTGGTCACAGGGTTCATGTCAGTTGAGTAGATGGAAGACCCTTTGTATTTCTGGTAGTGACACATTTGTCAGCAACATTTGCACTAAAGCTTACTGGCAATTTGATCTTTTTAGAGACAAGATGTTTTGGAAGTTTGACCTCCACACCACATCCCACATTGACACACTGCTAGAGAAGGAGGATGTGACGCTGACAGAGGTGATGGATGAGGATGACGTCCTGCAGGAGTGCAAGGCCCAGAACCACAAATTGGTGGACTTCCTGCTGAGACCACAGTGCATGGAGGACCTGGTCACCTACATCACACAGGAACCCAGCACTGAAGTTGAAGAGAAAGTTAAATACAAGTAAGAGAAAATTGTGTGGAGGGGAGCAAAATTAATTAAATGGTTTGTTTACTTTCAAGAAATTTGACTAACTCATCTGTGGATACCTTTCTGTCTCACCTCTCCGTTCTGTATAGGAGCCATTATTTCTACCATAATGGTTATTTTAGCAGTGAATGGTTGTACAGGCTCACAAACAGGTGCTCATTAAAACTAAGTATTGACAGCTTTTTTTTACAACACACAAACCTTTTATTTATAGACCTTTTGGGAATACCTGTGGTAAAAACAGTGGACATTTTGTTCTATGTTATAAAGGCACTTATATTTTTTGACCAAATGCTTCAAGGAATTAAGTTGGAACCAAAAAGGAATAAGGGTCTTTTGCACATACCTGCTTGTTTTTGCCCAGTTCTGAAGAATATAAAACACACTGTATCTCACAAAAGGAAGACAAATTTACCCAAAGAACCATAGAAATAGGGCAAATTTCAGAGATAGTTCTTTCTTAGATTTTTGTTTTTGACTTCTGAGGTAACAATAATATGAGTCATACTGTTTTCTTTGGTTTTATCATTATGTGACTTAAAATAACTGCTAATGCACCCAGTAAATCACTATCTCTCCCTGTTTCCAGGTGCATCCTGCCACCAAAATACCAAATGTGCAGTCACGTGGCGCACACAAATGGGTCCATATGTTTTTATCGACTAGTAATTGCAAATGTTTCCACACCAGTGTGTCCTCAGAGTCAGTGCAGACAGTGTATTTTAAACTAAAGCTCATTATAGAGTTTCATCCAAGAGTCTTCTTCAATTCAGCTCGCCAGGTGGGGCTCAGTGATTATGTAAATGCCTGTTACGATTTCAATTTTCCCAAAAACTTAAAATAAAGATGAATTTAACTAAAACCAGCCTTAAGTAGAGGTGGAGTGGAATTTTCATGCGTGTGAGGGTCTTTAAATTGGTGCGTGGATCACATTTTTCAGCCAATTAGGCTGACTAACACAGTTAAGATTAAAGTCATATAAACATATAATGCATCTTTTATCATTTTAAGTAATTTGCCAATAGATAAACATGAATGTATATTTACAATTAAATTCAATAACAGTTTAGAGAGTTTGAGACACAGTAGTTGAATTGTG